GAAACAAGTGAACCAGCCATCATCATTTTACATTGTGGGCTACAAAAAGCCCACAAGTGGGCCATACCAGACCACTGAAACTACGTCATGAATCGTAAAATCACCAAAAAAAAAAATTCTGTCAGGGCTCCGTGTGCGGGCAGGCGGAGATGAGGATCCAAATGCAGGACTCGAAAACAGAATGCAACTCAAAAACTCAGCTTTATTGCTGGCATGAAAACAAAACATGAAGTGAACACGGACTGCAGAGACCAAAAACACACAGACATGATCTGAGGGTACGACGCAACACTGGTTTGAGGAAAACACAGGGCTAATATACAAAGGGTGGTGATCAGGGAATGGGTAACAGGAGGGAGACACAGCTGGGAGAAATTGGGGCTAACGAGACAGGAGGAGCAAAGCTGGACACACTGATATAAGACACAATCCTTCAAAATAAATCAGGAAACAATACACAAGGACGCAGACTAGGAAACACAGACTTAACACGGGCAGAACTAAAAATAAACCAGAATAAGCTGGAACATAGAACATCATCATCAAATAGATCAAGAGGATAACCAAAAAATACAAAATCAAACCAAAACATGAAAACTCAAAATACTGGGTTAAAACTGACCCAGAACCATGACAAATGCTCCTTGTTAAAAAAAAAAACTGTAATTCCTGTAGTAGATGGTGTCAAAACAGGAATGTGTTTTTCATCATTTATCTACCAATTAATTAAATAGATGTAGATTGAGGTGCTTTATATTGGAACATAAAGACCATACAATAATACAAATCAATCAATAAGAAGAAAAGCTGTAAAACTTAAAGGTAAAAATCTATGCACTCCTTCACATTTTCCAAAGCTGTCCAATGTCCCAGATTCTGGCCCCGGACCGTATGTTTTACACCCTTGCTGTAAACTAATGTTACTAAAGCCTAGAATTGAATATAATTTAGTATGCATGCTGCATATTATGGGGCGCCGTTTTTAAAGTGAAACATGCTGAAATTAATGGCAACATTTTTCCACATTTAGCTCAAAACCTTACAAAAACGTGTTTTTTCGAGTAATTTTTTACAACATTTATGTAAAATGTTTGTAACTTTTCATCAAATGTTAAATATGAAATCTAAATTTTAAATGTTAAATCTAAATGTTAAATATTAAATCTAAATATTATATTTCAATCTAAATGTTAAATCTAAATATTATATTTCAATCTAAATGTTAAATGTTAAATCTAAATATTATATTTAAATCTAAATGTTAAATTTGCATGTTAGCCTAAACATTTAGATTTAACATTTAACATTTAGATTTAGCATTTAACATTTAGAATTAACATTTAGATTTAGATTTAAATATAATATTTAGATTTAACATTTAGATTTAACATTTAGATTTAAATATAATATATAGATTTAACATTTAGATTTAACATTTAACATTTAGATTTAAATATAATATTTAGATTTAACATTTAGATTTAACATTTAGATTTTGATTTAAATATAATATTTAGATTTAACATTTAGATTTAATATTTAAAATTGTGTTTTAAATATGAAAAGTTACAAATATTTTACTAAATGTTGTAAAAAAGGACTCGTTTTGAGCTAAATGTGGAAAAATGTTGCCGTTAATTTCAGCATGTTTCACTTTACAAAC